ACTTTTAATATCGTTTTGGAATGCTTGAAAATTTGGATAAACTTTATAGAATCTGCACTTGTGGATAAAGAATTTTCCCATAATGAAAATAATATTACATAAAAATTCCACATTTTTATCATTAAAAGTAATGCCAAATTTAACTCCTTTATATTCAAAATTAGGAATCACATTTTTTGTAGATAACCAATCATAAATCTTGTCCCAAAAATACGTAACCACACAACAATTGTAAAAAGGGTTAGGGTTTTAAAATGAACTTCTTTCATCTTTGGTAGGAAATGAGAAAAATCCTGTTCTGACCTTAAGAACTTCCATCTCTGAAAACACGTTTAAAGATAAGTTCCTCTTAACTGGGAGAGGAAAAATTGTGTTGTTTATGTGTTCTCTTATCATTTTGTTATTCATTTTGAGATCCATAAAATCGTAATTATCTATAAGGAGGGTGGGAAAGATCGGTGTTACATCAGAATATTTAATCCTTCCTTTGACCAAATTCATCATGGTTGCCAGAATTGCCCTAATCAGAGATAGAAATTGTTTCCGTGGACAATCTAAATTATATTTTCTTTTAAATACTGTATAATCCAGAATATCACCGTTTGTGTCCATAAGATGTATAATGGCCCAGATACCTTTTTCCTCCCATTCTCTGTACTATAGACATTTTCTCTTATACAAAATAAATTTGTTATTCCAAATAATCCTATTATGTGGCGTAAAATTGTGCTCGTATAACATTTTCCAATACTTTAGAACTTGTGTGTGGTATTCTGATAATTTAATCGGTAATTTGACAGGATCAAAGTTACATCTTAAGAGAAATTATATTCCTCCATTTTTTTGAAAAAAGTTGTGAAGGGAAACTAAACCATAAACTTGTTTCATTTTTAATTAAAGTCTGCAGCTATTTTAATTAAATCAATAACATTTATTCCTCCTCTTTTTTCTACTGACTTTACTATGTTGTTCTTTCTGATCAGATGTCGTTTATTATTCCATATGAAATTGTAATGAATTTGATAAATGTTTTTTATCGTAGTATTTGTTATATTTAAGGTAAATACTGGATAAATTAGTCTGGCTATCCCTTCTGTTTTAGTCAATAATATTCTTCCAAAAATTGAAATGTTTCTTTGGAGCCAACTTTTAAATATTTGTTGATTCTTTTGTAAAATTGGTTGAATAATTGTTCTTTCATTATCAGTGTGGTCCTTGTTAATTATTACACCTAAATATTTGATCTTATTCTTTGATTTGATATTATGAATTAAAGTGGATTGATTATTTTGAATTGATTGATTGATTTCACATTTTTCCATTTTCAATTTTAGGCCTGAAGCTTTAGAGAGGAAATAAACAGCTTCTAAAGCCTCAGGGATTTGGTCAGCATTTTTAAGAACACCACTGTATCGTCTGCTAACAGTGTAATATCAAAGTTTGTACCTGGGAAACTTAGTGGACTTATCTTGTTGTTATTTTTAATGTTTAATGCTAATAGTTCTGTTCCTATTATAAAAAGCAGTGGGCTAATAGGGTTGAATTCCTCTTTTTTACATCAAATCTCCTGATATTTCCTGACTGAAGCAATTCCGAGCTTCTTATGTCTTTATATAATGTAGAACAATGTTTATATTTTTTTTCCAAAGCCAAATTCTTGTAATGACTGTATTATGAAAGGGTTTCTATTTTATCAAAGCTTTAAGGAAATCTAAGAACAAAATGATTCCTTCATCTTCTAAAAATTTTTTGAATTTCTTTTTTTAATTAAAAGAGTATTTTCCTGGAAACTGATCAGATAACCACTTTTATTTTGAAAATCCATGAGAAAAATATATTTCCGGGTCACAGACGTATTTCCGGTAGAGGTCATTGAGCGCTCCGTTGCTAATGTGAGAAAATTAATCCTGAAATGGTTTCATAACTAAAGGAAGAAGGATCGATGTGGCTCCTTAGAAGATTCCTGTCGCCGGTGGTTAGAAGAGGTTGGTCTCCATGGTGATTTGATCCCCATGCAGCGGTCTGTAGTTCAGCTGCCTGAAGGTGGCTGGAGCTTTAGTAGGCCTGTTAAAATGCCTGAATGAAATGAATCCCGCGCTCTTTAATTCACTCTTATGTTTTAAGCAGCTGTTTAATTTGGGATCAAAGCAAACTAGCTCTCAATACTAAAAACGATTACGTCATATACAATGACAAACGTGAAGAAATAGAACTATGAAAATAGATTAAAGACATTTTTCTAGAAGGTATCATCGGTAAGGATCTTAGTTAAAAATCTATGGGT